AGACCATTCTCCTATCTGATGCAGACATTTCATTTCATGACGCCGTTGAAGCGCTCCGCAGTCGCCTGGAGCCACCACAGCAGGCCCAAATGCACGAAGCGGCTTTACGCCAGCGCCTGAAACTCGCCCATGAAACACAGTATGCATATGCCATGGAGCTTCGCCGCCTTGCTGCCAAAGCATATCCAGGCCGACAGGGCCCGTTACTAAAATCGATGCTGCTGCAGATTTTCATCGATGGTCAGCCAACAAAAGATATGCGCCTGGCTCTGTCGTCGCCACGACCAGCAAGCATTGAACTGGCGGTTCAAAAAGCAATTGAGGTCTCGGCAATCTACGCCAGGGAACAGAGCCAGATGCCTGTAGAGTCTCACTTCACTCAGGCTGTACATGTAACTGGTGACTACGATGGCTCGGCCTGCGCCGCGTTGCCGTTACGCAGCCAGCCACCTGGCCCATCACCAGCTGTACCCCGGGCTTCTGTTGCCAAGGCGAGTGCGTATGACGCTGGAGAGCGTGATCGACTGGCCCAAGTGCTTGAGAAGTTTGATTCAAGAATGTCAGATCTTGAAAAGAGACTCGGATGTTTAGAAATAATTGTCGCTCCGCAAACACCAGTCACTGCAGGAGCAAGTCCCGATGGCCAGTCTCGTGTCAGTGGACGTGGTCGTGGACGGGGACGGGTGTATGGTCGTGGTGGTCGCGATGAACCGCCGATTTGTTTTGGGTGTGGACAACCTGGCCACTTTGCTGTTGATTGCCCACACAACCCTTGGCGCTCGGGAAACTGAGTACGACTGGTGGTGTGGGACAACTCCCAGTCGTCCATGAGGAGCCCTCAGATGAGGCGCGAATCGAAGCTGTATCATCTGTCGTCCCTACCCTGGACCTCAATGTTGAAGGCAAGAGCGTAACTGCACTAATTGATTCTGGTTCATGTGTTTCTTTGTTGCATGAACAAACATTATTGTCCACGTATGGTGATGTGCCTTTGCAAGCTGCCCCCCCCCCCCGTTTGTGTGCGGTGAATGGTGAGGGACTTCGGGTTCTGGGTGCTGTAGATATCGAATGCTGCATTGGAGGGTGCTCATTTTTGCATGCATTTGTAGTGTCCCCTGATATCCGCCGTGATATGATCTTGGGATCTGATTTCTTGTTTGACCATGGAGCATTACTGAACATTGCTCAAGGCACCTTAACTTTTAAAGACCTGTCAGTCCCGTTAGGAGTGAAAGCTACCAGTTTTGGTCCATCGGAACCTAGTCCGGCCGTTGCGGAGGACCCGGCGCCAGTATCTGACTCTTGTGTTAGTGATAGTAATTCTCAGGAAGACCTGAGCACGTACTCTTCTCGTGTCACTGTTGGTCGTGCATTAACTCTGCCTGCCGGCCATGTAGTGTTGGTGCCGTGCATGTCTGTGCAAGAGGCACCTGTAACTGTGGACTGTGTTGCTGATCCACTTGACTCATTCTTGACAAAGTTTCCAGATGTGTCTGTGACCCCCGGTGTGGTTACGGTTGGACCTGACAGGTCCTGTGGTTTAGTTGTGTTGGAAAATCACTCTGACCACCCAGTGCTTCTTGCTAAAGATGTTAACATTGCCGAGTTATCTCCTGTACCCGAGGACTTCATTGTCGAGGATAATGATCCTACTGTTTCGTCCGTTGCGGATACGCCACCGCTTGTGCTATCCCCTGTACGCGCCGAGGTAATCCGTACATATGTTGACTCTCAGAGTCATCTGTCAGTACCTGAGAAGAGCACACTTACAGAGATTCTCCGGGAGAATCATGACTTGTTTATCTTGCAGGAGGGTGATTTGGGTCATTGTGATGTTTTCCCACATCGTATTAGTACTGGTGAGACAAAGCCAGTTAAGCAGCCTACGCGTCGTGTACCCTACCACCGCCGGCAGGCTTTACAAGCTTTGCTGGATGATCTGTTGGCCCGTGGTATCATCACAGAGTCTATTAGTCCCTGGGCGTCACCCATAGTTCTCGTTCCAAAGAAGGACGGATCTCTTCGATTGTGTATCGACTACCGCAAGTTGAACAGTGTTACGGAGCCAGATGCGTACCCCATCCCACGAGTTGATGACATGCTAGACTCACTCTCCGGCTGTTCCCGGTTCACTTGCCTGGATTTAGCTTCAGGTTATTGGCAGATCGCTATGGACGAGGAAGATAAGGCCAAGACTGCCTTTACCACACCGTTGGGTTTGTTCGAGTTCTCCGTGATGCCAATGGGCTGTCGAAATGGTCCGGCAACTTTCCAGCGTGTGATGGAAGCGGTGCTTCATGGCTTATGCAATGTGCCGACCCAGCCATTCTGTCGCGTTTTCTTCGACGATGTGCTGAATGCCAGTTCTACCTTGACTGGACAGCTCCAGATTCTCAAGTCGGTGTTTGACCGCGTTCGTGCTGCTGGACTGATGTTCAACTTGAAGAAATGTTCGTTCTTCCAACGGAAAGTGCTCTTCCTCCGTCATCAGGTTTCGGCTGACGGATTGGCTCCGGATCCGGCCAAAGTTGAAGCTATCGAGCAGTGGGCTGTACCGAAGTCGGTGAGAGATGTACGTGTGTTTCTGGGTTACGCTGGGTACTACCGTCGGTTCATCCGTGGCTTTGCTCAGCGCTCTGCACCCCTGACTGCTCTATCAGGGAAGAATGCCAGCTTTATGTGGACAAAGAGTTGTGATGCGGCATTCACCTCTCTGAAACGGTCACTGACAACAGCCCCCGTGTTGGCGTATCCCGACTTTTCTGTTTCGTCTGGCGGCTTTATTTTGGACACTGACGCTAGCAAGGTGGCCATTGGAGCTGTCCTCAGCCAAATGCAAGATGGCGAGGAACGCCCCATTGCGTTCGGCAGCCGGGTCTTGACGAAGGCAGAGAGGAATTATGATGCCTCAGACCGGGAAACGCTTGCCCTTGTCCATTTCGCGAATCAGTTCCGGCACTATTTGCTTGGCCGGAATTTTATTGCTCGCACAGATAACACTGCCCTCACCGCACTGATGTCCGTGAAGGAACCACGCAGTCGAAAACCTCGATGGGTGGAGCAACTCGCTGAGTACACCTTCACTACTGTTCACCGGCCGGGTCGGCAGCACTTGAATGCAGATGGTCTGTCGCGTTCCTTGTTGCCGGAGGTGCAACCCTCCCATCTCGAGACTCCCGCAAATCAGCCAGAGCAAGCTAGTTCCTCTGCCACAACGGCGTCTGTGGATGTCGCCACTCCTGTACTAGCTGGTCTCTCCGCACCTGAGTTGGCCGCTTCCCAAGCTGTGGATGTTGATCTATCAGTGGTCTTGTCATGGTACAATGCAGTGAGTGGAAAATTTGTGCGTCCTCCTGAAGATTTAATTTCTGGCACTAGTCGTACCATGCGTTTGTTCTGGGAGAATGCCGAGCAGCTAAGTCTCATTGACAGTGTTCAGTACATATCACCTCCATTTTCCGATCATGATCATGTCGGTACTGCACCCCGTCTTGTCGTCCCATTTGTGCTTCAACGCAAAGCTTTGCTGGCTGTTCATGCTCTTCCGTCTTGTAACCATCCTGGTGTAGATAAAACATTAGCTCAAGCGCGGCTACGTTTTTTCTGGTTTGGAATGGCATCAGATGTTCAGGAGTTTGTGGCGTGTTGTGTCACTTGTGCACAGATTCAGCTCAAGTCTGATGCCCAGCGTGCTCCGCTCCAGCCAATGTATGCCGGCTACCCATTTCAGCTCGTAGCCCTCGACATCGTCGGTCCATTGCCAGAGACACCCCGTGGTAATCGATATCTGTTGGTTATGGCTGATTACTTCACTCGGTGGGCAGAAGCTTTTCCACTCCAATCCGTTACTGCAGAAGCTGTCGCTGTGGCTGTTGTCAATGGCTGGATAGCACGGTTTGGATCCCCTGAGCAACTGCATTCCGACCAGGGTCCGCAGTTTGAGTCTAAGCTTTTTGCTGAATTATGTCGTCTGCTGGGTATTCACAAGACCCGTACTACTCCCTACCATCCGGAAGGTGACGGACTTGTAGAGCGGCTCAATCGCACTTTGCTCGGTCTACTCCGTGCGCACATCACCCCTACATCTATTGAGTGGGATGCTACCTTCTCTCTTGTCTTGCTTTCGTACCGTTCTGCTGTCCATGCGTCCACGGGTCACAGTCCTGCCAAGTTGTTGTACGGCACTGAATTGCGTTTGCCGGCAGATGTTGTGTTTGGTTTGCCACAACCAGCGTCTCTTGAATCCACTAGTTACGTTCGCCATTTACAGTTTGCGTTGCGTGTTGTACATGCTCAAGCTCGAGAGCTCGCTGATCTGTCCCATGAGCACCAGGAAGAACATTACAGCCGCCGAACCAAGGGTGCACCATTAGCTGCTGGCCAGTTTGTTTACATAAAGGATGCTGTCATTCACCCTGGTGAACACCGCAAATTCCACCGCCCTTGGCGTGGTCCATTTCGTATTGTGTCCGTCTTTGGATCAACGTCCTACGTTGTCGATGTTGATGGTCGCCATAAGACGCTGCATTTCAACCGCTTGAAACTCGCTTACCTGCCGTCGCCATCTGCGTCCCTGCCGCTGGAGGATCCAGTACCTGCTGCTCCAGTGATGCCTCAGTATGTCCCACATGCCCTCGACAGCGACCATAGTCCGCTGTCGTCTACGCTCCCGCAGTCAACCAGAGCCCATCTTGCTCGCAATGCTGGACTGCCTGCTCGGTTTACTGATTTTGCTATGTCCTGAGTTATTTTATTTTTTATGTTTCTGTTTTCTTTCTCTATTCACGAGGGCGTGAATTTTTGGTAGGAGGAGGATAGTGTAGCATGGCTACTTTATGACACGTAATTTGTATACACATAAATAGTACACCGTAGGAATGCATGGATAGGCTGTGCGCATACTCGCACTGCCTTTTCTTCTTCTCCTTGTGAGACAATGAACGAATGATAACTACTTACGTAACAACAAGTATGTGCTTTGAGTGCTGAGAGTATACGAGTTACACAAACGTGTCAGGCACACGCGTCATCTTGTCGGCCTTGTTCTCTGCAGAAGGCACCCAACGAAGGTGCCCTTGCATGCCGGTCTCTGCAACGATGTCCTCCACTGCTTGCAGGCGCCGCTCCACGACAACGTTGAAGAGGCTGTTCGTCTTCACCCGGTGAATGTTCCCAAGTCGCGCCGACAGCCAGCCGTACACAGTCTTGGAGTTGGTCACCACCGTTGCTGTCTTCACACGGTAGTCAGTTGCGAGGGTGAGGCCCCTCAGGACAGCATTCAGTTCGGCGACATTGATATGGCGGCGATCTGAAGCAGGGCGAAGCCAGGAACGGTATTCAACTACCGCCCCATCGCCCTCTAGCAGCGCCCCATAGGCGACGTCGGACGCATCGCACCACACAGTACAGTCACGTGCTTCCACATTCACTGCCCACTTGCTGGTCGCTGGGTCAGCCTTGTCCAGCATGGCCTGTAGCTCGGCACAGCAATGGACCACAGTGTCACACACCGGCTTGTCCCACGCACTCTCAACGCTGGCAAGCCGCTTCAGGTAGCCACAGGCTGGACGTAGCCAGGAACAGACGGGATAGTGGCTGGTTAATCGCCCGCACCAGCTAAATACTTCCCGCCTGGTAATCTCATCAGCCACCTCGAGCTGGACACCATCACGTCTGCGCCAATGTAACTCATTATCCGCTTCGGTAAACAGCTGGAGACCCAGCACTCGAGCAGAACTGACATCCTCCGCAGGCTTCGTGGGCAGGCCGTATGCAGCGAGGCGGGCAGACACAGCACTAGACAGAGGCTTGGGGACAATCACGTCATCCACATAATTGTCGACTTCTGGCATGTCGCGGGTCACATACTGGACAATGATGTCCATGACCGTGGGGGCCACAGACAAGCCGAAACCCATGCGGGTCATTACGTAGGTCTTGTCTTGCCTGACGACGACTTGATAACGCAGCAAATCATCCTGGACATGCACTTGCAAATATGCCTTCCGGATGTCTAACAGCTCGTGCTCGTCTTCTCGGCTACGCCATGGCCGCAGGGATTCCGCACACACAGGAGAGTCATTGCCTGGGTGCGACACAAGTTGCCGGTTCAGGTGGCGGTAGTCCAACACTGGCCGAACAGGAGTTGACAGCTTGTGCTCTTGCTCAACCGCCATCAGATGCAGAACACAGGCTGGCTTTCCGTGCACCTCCGGGTTATGCTCAATGAGCCAACCATTGGCAAACCACTCATCGACCGCTGCAGTAAACCTTTCCTCCTGCTGTGGCGAGAGGTGCTTAGTAGTATAGTGCGGTGAGGGTTCTGATCCAAAAGTCACCTTTGACCCCTGGCTGCCAAATAAGGAAGAATAGTCCATATATGGCAGATGACCTTTGACCTTTGAGTTGACATTTGACCTTAGAGCTGCCATATAAGGATGAATAGTCCATATATGGAAGATGTCATTTGACCTTTGACCTTTGATGTGACCTTTGACCTTTCCATATAAGGATGGATAGTCCATATATGGAAGATGTCATTTGACCTTTGACCTTTGCTGTGACCTTTGACCTTTCCAAATAAGGATGATTGGTCTATATAAGGAATGTGACCTTTGACCTTTGGGATTGACCTCTGTGCTTTATATGGAAGCAGTGGCTATATAGGGTGATATGGTAGAATGTGCTATATATGTCTGGATGGTCTATAGTGGGGGTGAAGTGTCCTTATAAGGAAGGTGCACGTGGTTCAGGTCATATAAGGCATCTTCCATAGAGGGGTGAAGTGTCCTTATAAGGAAGGTGCACGTGGTTCAGGTCATATAAGGCATCTTCCATAGTGGGGTGAAGTGTCCTTATAGGGAAGGTGTACACGGATGAGGTCATATAAGGCATGTGCCATAGTGGGGTGAAGTGTCCATATAGGGAAGGTGTACACGGATGATGTCATTTAAGGCATGTGCCATAGTGGGGTGAAGTGTCCATATAGGGAAGGTGTACACTGGTTTGGTCCTATAAGGCATATTCCATAGTAGGGTGAAGTGTCCTTATAGGGAAGGTGTACATGCTGTAGTTTTTAAATAAGGCATATTCCATAGTGGGTGGAAGATGCCTTATATGGCATGCGTATCCTGGCCAGGTCATATAAGGCATGCAGTCATAGTTGAAACAATTGTCCTTTAATATGAAACACTCATTGAGGGCCTTTCTGTCTGAGGCTTTGAAGAAAAGAAGCATCATGTAACAAAGCTGGGTTCGTACCCGCAACCTCTCGTACGGAAGGCATGAACTGTACCAAACGACCAGGACGACTACACACAAGATCCAAGGCTCAAATCCCCTATTTATACCCGGACCGTAAAGAAGAAAAAACGCATCATGTAACAAAGCTGGATTCGTACACGCAACCTCTCGTACTGAAAGCACCAACTGTACCAAACCACCACAGACGACTACGCACAAGAGGGAAAGCTCAAATTGACTATATATACTGGGACCGAAGCTCACCAAGGTCTCGCTGGATGAGAGATCAGCGACCTATCGACAATGTCATCGAGCATGGAAAGAAGGGTGGGTGGTTGTGGTGGTGGTGGTGGTGGTGGTGGTGGTGGTGGTGGTGGTGGTGGTGGTGGTGGTGGTGGTGGTGGTGGTGGTGGTGGTGGTGGTGGTGGTGGTGGTGGTGGTGGGATCAGCATGGCATCCAACAGATGGACAGTCGCCAACAATCACTACCCGTGCAGGATCATGATGCAAGTCAACCCAGCACGCGTACATCACGTACCTGGATGCCAACAATCTCTACGGGTGGTCTAAACTTCCTAACCCCCCTACAGACACCAGTTGATTGACGACATACTACAACATCCAGCAGATGCACCGAGAGGCTATAATATGGTTGAGTGTGTGGGTGTGTGACCTCAGGATTCCAGAGATGTTACACGACTATTTTCAATGACTATCCATTGACTCCGAATCGCGTCACAGTCAGCCGGCACATCCTGTCACCATATCAAAGGGAGCTGGTGGCCCCATTTTTGTGGTAAAAAACCGGGCGCCGAATTTTTACATTAAAAAAGTCATTCTCAATGACGTATATATACGTCTTTAGCGGTGAATGGGTTAATATGATTTGGATGGGGAAAACATGCGAAGAGTATTGGTAAGTTCATATAAGGCTGATTTTAATATATGGTAGGATAGTCTTTATAGAGAAGGTTTATAGTTCAGTTTCTATAAGGCATATACCATATTGAACCACCAGATCATCCAGCTCTGGGAATATGATGATCTGTTTTGCAGAAACCAAAGCCATACCACATACACACATAATGACACTGGTACACAGACAGGCAAACAGACCGACCGACAAACGGACAGAAAGACAGACAGACAGACAGACAGACACACCATCACTGACGATTTCCATCTTGTGCAGAGTTGTAGGAGCAGGAGATACCTTCTTCTTCGTGAACATCTCAAGTTGAAGTGGAGGAGGAGAGGCAGGATGAGGTCGCCATCTCGAAAAGAAAGAGGTTGCAAATGATCACCTGACAGGACATCTTCTCCTTTTTTTTTTACTAAACACAATTTACCATCAGTGTCTGTCACAACAGGTCAGAACGTGTCTACCTTACACAGTTCCTGGACTTGCCTGGGACGCACTCCTGAAGCTCACCAAGGTCTCGCACGATGAGAGATCAGCGACCTATTGACGTCTATAATTTCATGGAGCATGGAAAGAGGGGTGGGATCAGCATGGCATCCAACAGATAGACAGTCGCCAACAATCACTACCCGTGCAGGATCAGGATGCAAGTCAACCCAGCACGCGTACATCACGTACCTGGATGCCAACCATCTCTACGGGTGGTCTATGATGCAACCACTGCCCTGTTTGGGGAGTCAACTTCCTAACCCCCTACAGACACCAGTTGATTGACGACATACTACAACATCCAGCAGATGCACCGAGAGGCTATATGGTTGAGTGTGACCTCAGGATTCCAGAGATGTTACACGACTATTTTCAATGACTATCAATTGGCTCCGGATCGCTTCACAGTCAGCCGGGACATGCTGTCACCATATCAAAGGGAGCTGACGGCCCCATTTTTGGGGTAAAAACCGGTCGTCCTATTTTTACGTTAAAAATCATTTTTCGGGTGTTGTAGGTGGTTGAGGGACATGACATCATGATTGTACCCCAATGGTTGTACCTGCTAATTGCCCCGGATGGGAGTGGGTTTATAAAGTAGGTACATTGTTGGATAATGTTTCATTATGAAGATGACGATGATATGGGGTGAAGATGGATTCTGATTTTGATACTTACGCTGCACATGAGCGGTTATGTGGTGTGGATCGTCATCTTTTGCATTTTCTTTCGAAAACTGAACTCTTATCCGATCAGCTTCGTGTACACCCTCTTCGAGAACAGATAAGTGCGATGAAGAAGTCCTGTTTGTACAAGAGTCTAAACTATGCTATAGCATTATCCTGTATAGTATACGATACGAATGTGGATGCATTACGTAAACTACATTCCTGCTTACCTCATAGCAATGTGTCCTGGCTGATGTTCAGTCGAATCATGAAACCTCTTCCTCAGCATTTCCCACTCCTATACGCACTGCATCTCATGGAGTCGACTAGGATGGTGGCTTCATTGCAACTGTCCACGTTGCGTTCGAATTTGCTGCTTTTATCTCCATCTGATATATCTCTTTTGACATCATTAATTGATGCTTATTGCTGGGAAACCTATTCACTTGATCACGTGATCCAGAACATGCACACGTTTGACTGTGATCTTATTTCCATACTGTATCAGCTAACAAAGGTGGCGGTATCGTGTGAGGAACCTTTAAAATGAGATGAATCATGATTTTGGCGGGCATGATGCTGATTGGTCAAATGTTTTTGGTGGGCTTTTTGGCGGGCTTGATGCTGATTGGTTAAATGTTTCTGGTGGGCTTGATGCTGATTGGTCAAATGTTTTGGTGGGCTTGATGCTGATTAGTGAAATGTTTTCATCTACCCCGGGGGTTGGTTTTTTGCTGGATGCAAAGCTTACGAGCTTTTGTCATGCAAGGCTAACTTTTCGGCTAACTTTTCGGCTAACTTTTCGGCTAACTTTCGACAAACGTTGTGATTAAAATTGTCCTTGCTATACACAAACACACCACGAACGCCAATGATGGGTTAATGGTAAAGTGTGTTCATTGTTCTCAGGTTCAGTTCCATTCCTGCAAACCACCCTGAAGATATCACACCCTAAAGCATGTTTTCTCTGGAGATTGAGTATCAGTGGTTCACAGTTGACAGGAAAATGTGCAGCTTGATTCAGATATTAGTGGCGAAGAAGCTCTTCCGACTGACGGAACGAATGCTGGTTTTCAATCCATTTGACTGTCTTGACATAGGGGACAACAATGGACGCCAGTAGCCATCAGCTAGATGCTCCTCGCCAGATGAAAAGACATTATGATCCAGGAGCTAAAGTTGAGGATGATCCACCGGAGAAACGCGCTAGAGAAAGTGATGATGGGTTTGAATTGGTTGATGTTGCGTGACGAGGTGCGCTAAAGACGTACAAGATGGATGTAAATGACTTGGATCTCGTGGTGAGTTTGGATGCGAATTATGCGGCCATTTGCCCAGCACATTCCCATGGTATTTCACAATCTGAAGCACTACGACGCTCACCATCTGATTTCGTTCATTGGTGGTGTAACGAACGTGGAGACGGTGGACTATGTGAATAAGTATGGCAAGTCCAAGTCCAGACAGGTGGGGCGGTATCTCAGTGATCCCAAACAACATGGAATAGTACATCAGTTTGACATGGAGGTAGTTTCGCTTTATCAACAGTTTGGCGTTTCTAAATGCCTCTCTCTCTCTCGAGAAATTGGTGAAGAACACACCACCGGAGGCTTTGGTGTACACTAACACACTGGAAAAGCCGGATTTGATGAGCCAGAAAGGAGTGTATCCTTATCAGTACATGGACTCGTTTTCAAGATTCAATGAAACGGAGCTGCCATCTCGAGAGTCATTTCATTCAACATTATCAGGTTCTGGAATCAGCCTAGAGGAGTATGAAAGGGCGCAGCATGTATGGCAAGCGTTTGAATGCGAAGATCTGACACATTACCATGACATATACTTGCAAGCTGACGTATACCTACTTGCTGATGTGTTCGAAAACTTCAGGAAGACCGCTTTGAACCTACACCATCTGGATCCTGCTAACGACTATACGTTGCCGGGGTATAGTTGCAGGGATGCCTTGCTCAAACTCTCCAATGTCAAACTGGAATTGGTGACCGTTGTTGACAAAATACTTGTTTGTCGAGAAAGGCAAACGAGGCGGTGTCAGCATGGCACGTCATCGATATGCCAAGGCGAACAATAAGCATATGGACGATTTCGA